AAGTATCATATCACTAAATACGCCTGTGGCTGGCTGAGTCAGCTAAGACTTAGTGCTAATGAAGCCAAGGATTTCCACTTGAACTCCATTGTAGTCTGGTTACCTCCACAACCCCAGATTGTACCTCTAAATCCAGTCGGGGTGAGCATGCAGACCTGATCCATCCTCACTCCTACAGAAAAAGCTAACAACACAGACCCTGCTGCTGATAGCTGAGATACATTACTATTGTGTATGAAGAACCAGCTTCCCGCACATGAGTGTACATGTTGAACATGTCAGATCAGAGCTACTGGTGCTTCCAAAGAACACCTTATATTTTCTTCCTAACCTTGCTAACTATAATTATGGGTATATCCTGCCTACCCTCTGGAGAAGAATGTCAAATAACCAGTTTTGATGGCTATATTAATCATGCATCTCTGCAGAGAATTAGAAGCCTGGTAACAGGACACAGATCTCCTCTATCCACTCCCCCAAGAAATTTTTAAACAATTTATCTTGTTTTCTGCCATTAATAAGTATTTATTTCCCCACCCACCCATTGAAAAGAAAAAAAAAACACTTGTAACAAATATGCCTAGTCAAGCAAAACAAATCCCTGTATTAGCCATGTCCAAAAGTAAATGTCTCGGTCTGTATCTTGAGTTCCTCACCTCTCTGTTAGGAGGCTGGTCATTGTACGGGCTAGCGTTCTTAAGTCTTTCAAAGTTGTTTTTCTGTGCAGTGTTGTTATTGTAGAAATTATTCTCCCGTTTTGCACACTTTACTATTCTTCATAAGTTCATACAGTTCTTTCCCAGGTTTTTTCTGGAACTAACCTTTTTGTCATTACTTGTGGTACAATGGTCTTCCATTACATTCATATACCCTACTTTGCTCAGCCATTGCCCAATTGATAAGCACCCCCTTAGTTTCCAGTTCTTTTTCACTGTAAAAGAGCTGCTGTGAATATTTTTGTACGAGTCTTTTTCCTCTTTTTTTCTCTTAATCATCTCCTGGGGCAGGTGGTGCAATGAATAGAGCTCTGGGCCTTGAAGTCAGGAAGATTCATTTTCCTGAGTTCAAATCCACAGACATTTATTTGCTGTGTGACCCTGGGCAAGTCACTTAATCCTATTTTCCTCAGTTCCTCATCTGTAAAATGAGTTGGAGAAGGAGATGGCAAACCACTCCAGTATCTTTGCCAAGAAAACCCCAGATGGGGTCATGAAGAAGGACATGACCTAACAACAACAACAAATCATCTCCTTTGGGTTTAGGCCTAGTAGTACCCTTGGAATTCTTTAGGAGGGGACTTCACAAGGATCTTTATAGTCTAGAAGACTAAGAACTAGAATTTCCAGATAATACAAAGACCCTTGACCCTCTTCCTCTGTTCAGAACACCAGCCTTCATGCGACCTGTGGAGCCACCAGGACACAACACCAGTCTTCACTGGTCTGACCCATCCTATTACTGTTCAAATTCTGGTTATGATGCAAAAGACATCTTATCACTTCTTGGTTTACTCCTCCTCTGTGGACCTTTTTTTCCTGTACTTTTATTGCTTTGGTCCTCTTTCTCAGCAAATAAGAAGTCAAATAAGCATGGAGTCAGTCAGTCAACAAGCATTTATTGAGCTCCTACTATGTGCCAGGCACTGGGGATACAAAGAAAGGCAAAACCCACCTCTGCCCTCAAGGAGCTAACAATCTAATGGGAAAAGTACTGGATTTAGAGTCAGAGAAGCTGGGTTCAAATCCCAGTTTTGACACTACCCAAATGACCTTAGGCAAGTCAAAACTCCTGAACTATAAAATGAAGGGGTTGGCCTAGATGACATTGAAGGTCCTTTCCATCTATGAACTGAGGGAGAAACAGTGTTAGAGCTCCACCAGGAAACGAAATGTCCAAAGTCTCTCCCCAAGGACACATCTGGAAATTTTCTCACTTAACACAGGCTTAAGAATTTTGCTGACACAGCTCCTCACTATAACTCTACAAGATGATCTGTTTTATAGAAATTGATTTCCCAAATATCTTAGGCCCAACTTAATGGGTTGGAGTATTCTACTCATACAGTCACTGAAGTTTCCTCTGACATAAAAGGTGGGAGAGAGGAGGACAGATGAACTCTATAACCGTTTGGGGCCAAACCTGCATTTGAGGACACTGGCTAGAGAGACTGTTAAAAAAACACTAACATCCTTTTTGGCATGATGGGCAAATTTAGAGATACCTCCACTCCAAATGTTCATATGGATTATTTGTGCCCACCCTGTGGTAGAGCCTTCTGAGCCCATATTGGTCTGATCAGTCACAAGTGGACACGCCATACCTTGACTCTGACATATTGATGTAATTTCAGTCTTCTTTGAGAATGAAGGACAGCCAGTACCAACAACCCATTTTAATTCTGTAGTAATATCCTATGGGGTGGTTTGGTTCCCAGGCTAGCCCACAAAGAAGTCTACTCATACTACAATGAGCCTGAGCTACACCTAGATGGCATGCAAGGTATTGTTTCTAGGGGAAAACGCAGTTTGAATTGCAACTCAGGGTTCCAGAAACAGATTGTTCCCTTTCTTCCCACTCCATACTGAGCAGTGGAGCTGAGCAGGCTCTCAAGGAAGTATGGGGGGAGGAATAGGAGCCCCAAATTTACTGCCAAATCATGTCACCTGAGGTGGGGACAAGTACCTCTTAGGACCAGCAACTTGTTAATTCCTTTAAAAAAGGGTAACTAATTTTTAAAAATTTAAATTAAATAATTTATTTTTCTCAATTACATGTAAAAAAAATTTAACATTCTTTTTTTTTTAATTTGAGTTCCATATTCTCTCCCTCTTTTCCTCCCCTCCCCCCTCGTTGAAAAGGCACGCAAGACAATTACTTTGCTAAGTCAATCATTCACAGGGGTGAATGAAATAGAAAGTGAGAGAGTATTTGTTTCCTAGAGTAGTTTGACAAAAATGCACTGATTTTGGAACTAAAAGTTCTGGATTTGAATCCTGGCTCTGTTTCTTATTGCCTGTGTGACCTTAGGCAAGCCACTTCCCTTTGTGCCTCAGTTTCTTCATCTGTAAATTGAGGGAATTAAACTAGATAAACACTAAATTTCCCTGAAATTCTATGCTCTTATACAAAGGTTAGACTTAAGCCAAGGACTGCCATAGAATATATGCTGCAAAACTAGAATTTAAAAGGCCTTCCTCAAGCCCCATCTAAGAGGATTTCATTATAGAAAGATTGGAAAGAAATATGGAGAGGGAGCGATTGATAAGTGGTGATAGTTATTTCTATGTTGAGATCATTTTTAACCTAAAATTTCTAACATTTCAAACAGAAGTTCAATTTTGTTGATGTCTATAATTAGGTTCATAATAAACTATTTGTAAAGGAGAAATAAATAAAAGGATTTAGCTATAACACAGTCGTGAGTGTGGACCCCCTTCCCCAAGCCCTGCCAGGACAGAACGATTCCTGGGGAGTTTCTCTAGATTACTATCATAAACCTGCAGTACTGTTATTTCTTCTCTCCCTGTTTCAGCCTCCTTGACTCTGGGGCAGTGGGGCATATCTGGAAGCAACAGCTGTCACGCGTGTTCAGGCTAAGGGAAAGGTCAGGAGAGACACGTCTTGCCAAATGGATTCTTTTCTCTCCTCACTAGTGTGCGAAGTCACCACAGGAATCTCTTTTCTCTTCTCAGAGATCAACGGCAGGATCAGCCCCAAGGACAGGCTTGGTTAGGCAAAACTTCTCAGGCAAGATGTCCTGTCTGAGCCATGGTAATCAACACGGTGCCCCAAGGACACTCCCAGCTACAACAGGCATCTGAATCAAGATTCCAGAAAGAAGAAGAGAAAAGACTGTCCCTAAAAGTTCAAGAAGGAAACAAGCATTTATTAGGCACTTACTATGTGCCAGGCACTGTGCTAAGTGTTTACAAATATCCTCTCATTTGGTCTTCATGGTAACCCTGGGAGGTAGGTGCTTTCATTATCTTCATTTCACAGTTGAGGAAAATGAGTCAGACAGAGGTTGAGAGACTTGCCTAGGGTCACACAGTTAAGATATGTTGGAGGCTGGATTTGAACTCAGGCCTTCCCGACTCCAGGCTCAGAACTTTATCCACTGACAGTTGAGGCACTCCAAAACAGACTTCTTCACAAAGGATCAGAATACGACGACTCATTTATTTCATTATTAGATTTACGAAATGTTCACAACAACTGTGGAAAGAGCAGTTCTAAAGTCAGAGGGCCTAGCTCCAAATCCTGTCTTTGACACTTACTATCTTTGTGAATGTGGCCATGTTGATTAACTTCCCTGGGCTTCAGTTTTCTCCTCTGTAAAATGAGAACTAGATGGACTCTATCTAAGGTCCCTTCTACCTCTAAACCTATGCTATTGACTGAACTCCGAGATTGGTAATGGAAGTATTATTATCCCATTTTACAGATGAGGTCCAGCAAGGCTGTGACTCGCCTATGGTCACCGAGTTAAGTGTCAGAGTCAGAATTTTAATCCAGAACTCATGATTCCCAGTCCACTATTCTCTCCACTACACGGGAGGTAGAAATAGTAGAATGGGAGAGGAGAAACATCTAGAGAATCTGTTACTTAACTTAATTATATCCCCATTTCTCTTGTTACAAGGAGTGTGTTTTTCTTTTTTCATTGGGGGGGAGTGGAGAAAAGCTAGCAATAGTGTTACTGGGAGCAGGGGAAAGGGTCACTGAAGCATTTTTAATGCACAGAAAAGAACAGAAGGAAATTTAGAGGGAAAAACAGACCAGTAGAATGACTTTGAAAGTAACATGTTGAATTTATTATATACTTTGTTCAAAAAACAAGCTGTATATAATAATAGAGATTCTTGGTTTCATATGTAACTCCTTTATTCCTGTTATACTTTATATCTAGAAAATCTCTCCATTTTGGTATTCATTAAATTCAGCATAGAAATGTTAAAAGAGAAAGGAAGAAGGAGGAAGGAGGAGAATAAAGGACTTACATTGTATGCATTAACAATCAACTGGATGATATTTCTGGAGTCAGCATGTAGAATCTCCACAGTAGTTCCAGGTATTAATGCTGTAAAATTCTTTGAAAAGGAAAAAAATAATTACAGTGGCTTTTTTTCTTCCACTTTTGTTCCTTATGCACCAAAAAATAATCACTGAAATACAATGAATTGAAGAAATTCCAACAATACTTGTCTCTGCCCATTCCCAACATCATTAGACAACAAGCACTTTCTAACAATCAAAACTAGGGCAGGGAAGCAGAATTACTTAAGGGGAGGGGGCGCTAGATTTACTGAAGGGAGATGGTGGCATCTCCTCCTCTGTGGGTCCCTCAGGGAAATAAAGGAGGACAACATTATTTCTAGGATGATTTGAGTGAGGTCTGGGATGATCCCTTCAAGACACAGGACTCTTCAAAACCACTTCCTTAGTGACCGCCATTTTCCCTGCCAACGTCTTCCTGCAATTCCACCTGCTGTGTCTAAACATGGTTAAGGTTTATCAGAACACATTCCTCTGTCTCTTTGTTCAAAATCCAAATGGAAACATTTCCAAGAGGCTTAAATGTCAATGCTTCTCTTTTCAAGGACAATTCAAACAAATCAATATATTCTACTCCCCAAAAGACTTCTGGGTACCACTGAGTAAAAGTCTGTTCAAAATGCTGGATTAAATCTGAAGGACAAGCCTTCTTCCTCTTACTGATTTATGTACCAATGTCTAAGGTAGCATCAAAGTAAAAAAAAATTCAAAATTCAGCAGGCTATATAACGTTTTCTCCTCATTTCCTTGACTAATGTAGAAGTAGTTAAAAGAAAGAGTTTTTGGAAAAACCACCTTGAATAATATTTTCTAAATTCTTTTTGTTCAAGACGTTCAGAAGGAAAAATAAGACCTTTGGGAAAAACAGTGCTGAAGGAATAAACTGCCCAGACCCTGCTTGGCAAAGATACTATTCAGTGATAAAGACCTATTGGTCAGAAAGGAGAGGAAATTAAACCAGTCATGTTAATGAAAGTTGTAAAGGAGTGGGCAGGAAAGGAAAACTATTTGCATGGATACCATGCTTTGTTTGGTTAAACTATACCCATGATTTTATTGATATAGGAAAGCCCAGGAAAGAAAATTCCACAAATGCAGGTTGGTACCTTCAAATCTTAAGAGAATTTCTCAAGGACACCAAGAGATTGTATGACTTGCCTATATATATAGCTTTTAATTGTCAGAGGTGGGACTTGAATCCAGACCTTCCTGACTCAGAGGTGAGGACTCTAGTCACTAAGCCACATCACCATTTTGGGATCTTATTTTTGGCAGGCTAGGTTAAAAAGAACATGATGGTGGCTTGGGGCACTCTAGATATGTAGAGTAAAGAAATCTTTCTTCTCCTATATATGCAAAAAAAAAATCCATAGGAGATTAAGTAGAGTGAGAAGAAAAAAGAATACTTGTGCCACTTTTTTCATCTTTTAGGAACTTCCTAGAGCAAAAGGTGGAAGTGGCAGGAGGTGAGGACCTCAGGAAAAGGTTGAGTGGTATTTTACCAAAGATAATCACATTATTTCAGTTTTGACTATTATTAAAAGCAGCAGAAATAGTCACATTGTGCTATGACTAACTTTGATAGACTTAGCCCTTCTCAGCAATGCAAGGATCTAAGACATCTCCAAAAGTGTCATGATGGAAAATGCTATCCACATCCAGAGAAAGAACTATGGAGTTGGAATGCAGACTGAAGCATACTATTTGCTCTTTTTTTTCTTCTGTTTTGTTTTGTTTCCTCTTTCTTGTGGCTCCTTCATTTGGTTCTAATTCTTCCTCACAACACGACTAATGTGAAAATATGTTTAATAGGAATGTGTATATATATATATATATATATATATATATATAGGCTATATCAGATTGCGTGCCATCTTGGGGAGGGAGGGGGATAAAAAATTAAAACTCAAAAGCTTATGAAAGTGATTGTTGATAAATAAAAATAAATTAATTTAAAAAAAATTTTTTAAGTAGCAGAAAAATACATGTAGGCAAAAGGCATTTTTATTTTCAGCTTCTAGGCCCCCAGGTAAAGGGAAGTGGTGCAGACATTAAAGGGTTAAGAGGAGGAAGGAGATGCAACAGGCTTCGGTTCTCTGGTTTGCCTGTGAGCACATGTTCCCTGGAGAAGTTCTCATAACCTTTCAGGTTAAAGAATGTTAAGGCCACAGAGCTGACTTGATTTTTGTTTGTTTAAATGAGCACATACTGTCTAAGTAATCACAGGTTTCTACCTTCCACCTGGAAAGAGAAGTATGAATGAAAAAGAAGGGTTGGAGGGAGGAGGAGAAGAAAGAGCAGGTGTTGCCAGAGGGCAATCTTACCTGAGAGGTTAAATGTGTCATAAGGAAAGACACTGGACAAAAAAAAATCTTTCTCTAGATTACCTCACACAGAACTAAATACAGAGACATTCTTACTCACCATGGAAAGCTCCTTCTGGAATTCCTACTTTACATTCCCCCCTTCCCCCTCACCGGCTTCCTAAAGTTACTTCAATCACTCCAGAATAACAGCTCACCCTTCCATATTACTTTAAATTACTAGCTATAGGACCTCCACCAAAGTACTTCATCTTGCAACCTCGGATTACTCTTCTGGGGTAGACCATAGTCTTCTTATCATGATTTCCTGTTAGAGCATGTGTCCCAAGGTTCCTTCTTCCTCTCAATCTTCCCCAGTCTATAAAATAGGACTTCCCACACTAAATACTCAATCAATGCTGCTGACTAATCTAACCTCTCCCTATTTTCACAATTTTAATCTCTCTCTCCCCTTCAAATCAGAATTACCTTCCAATGCCCATGCCCTTAATCCCTTTACCTTGTATAGCATGTAATGGTTCTTTGTCACAGCAAATATCAAGTGGATGTTGTTCTCTGCCAATTTCTCTCCAAGAAGAGCAAGCGATGGATAGTCCTAGGAACAAGACCCAGAAAGATCTGAGACTTTCTAGAGCTCCCAGAACTGGATTCTGGTGTCCACATAGCAGTTTAATCCTTACTATGGAGGAGAACTTTTCTATAGGGTGAATTTCACAGTCACTACCCAGAGCTTATCAACAGGAAGGAGCACACCCAGGAAACTCTTCAAAAGGGCGACCTCACTTTACCTATAGTCTATGGGAGTCAGTGGACCCAAAGCAGAAACTCTCAAAGTGGCAAGGGAAATTGTTTTGTTTTCCCACATAATGAACCAAAATCTGTCTCTCTTTAACTTTGCCACACAGATTTCTTCTCTGGGCTTAACACTCCTCTTTTTAAAATATATAACTGCTTGGCAGGGAACTCAACTAGATGGTGCAAGATTCCCTTCTGTCCACAGGCATCCAATCAAGAAATAATTTAATTTAACAAATTGAAATAAAGGACATATAAAGGATGAGGGTATATGGAAGTCCAAGAACCTGGAGAGTTTGAAATGGAAGCCTAAGTTTAGGCCTAGAGGTAGAGTCCAATGGACACTTAGACTATTCCTATCTTGGTTCAGCCACGAAAAAAGAGGACAAGACACAGGGTCAAGAAGAAACCTCTAAGAGCAACTACTGTGGCCCCCTTACCATCTGCTTGGATGCGGTATATTCATTGGCCTCATTCAGATGGCATTGGCCATCATGCGGCTGTACCAGGCCTCCCAATTTGCCATCCAGGGCAATGTGTGGCACGTCATCTGATGTAAACACAAGCAAGTGCAAAGCTTCCTTCCGCCAACCAATCTTCTCCTGTAGGAAGAAAAGACAAATGAAAATTCTTGAGCCTGCCTGGATCCTTCTCAAGCCCATTCCTGGGTCATTAGCCAAAGTCCCTGACTGTTCTCGAAGGCCTCCAGAATGAATCAAAGGTGAGTGACTTGGCAAGTCGACCTGTAGCCCATTTATAAAAACATTGGGAAGCATTCCAAAGATGTGTTGGCAGAAAAACATCATGGGCGGGGGAAGCTAGCATGAATGTGGATAAGTCTCCAGGGAAGCCTTTGTCCAGGTTGACCAGTGAGCTTTCTCTGTGTAATTCTACACATTTTTCAAACCACTAAAAGTATTCCTCACTCTGACTTCAATCCCTGAAATGCACTCTTGTAAATTACTTGTTGCATTTACTCAACATGACTTCATTGGTTGTTGTTAATTCTTGTGATTGAACTGATTACCAGGCCAATTATGGTCATTGAAGTGAGTACCTTAGTCTTCCCTATGACACTCTAAGTGGACCCAGGGGAAAGTGAGGACATGACCCTAAGGAGCTTTGCCCTCTCAAGTCTCTGGACACATGTGTTGCCCAATGCCCTGACTAAGTCTGTTGTATAGGTACCAATAAAACCAATGGAATTAAAGCATTTCAACAAACAAATTAAGCTTATTTTCTCTTTTATTGCCTCATTATATGGAATTCTATTCTCAAGATTAGGAGTTTCCAATTTGGGGAATTTCTCCCTACCAAAGCTTGTCAAGTACTGCATTATTTGGTATATTAACTATGTTATCCAATTGAAATATTCCAGAAATGGCAGTACTATTGAAAAAAAATGTAGATTGGACAATGAACAACTTTATGATACTTAAAAATACTGTTAGGCAACAAATGAAGTTTTCTTTATGAAAAACCAATCTCTTCATCCTATTTCATTTCTTATGGACATAAATGCATGATAAACTTTAGAATGAATTTCCTTTCATATTAAAGTGGGGGTGAGGATAAACATGCTGAATGTCAAGAAGTACTGGGATCAAAACAGGTTGGGAACCCCTGCTCCAGAGGACCAGGAAAGTAACTGCATTACCATACAAAGGAGAAATCTCCTTTTGCAATGATCATTTTTGCTCACAGTATTCAAGGTTTGTTATCCAGCTGGAGCCTCCCATCTCTCTATTACAAATGATGGTGGCCGTTGAAGGCCCTTCCAGAAAATTCTATGACCTTGGGCAAATCACTGAACTTCTCTGGCTTTCAGTTTCCTCCTCTATTGAATGAAGGAGTGGTCCTACATGCCTGATAAAATTTCCTTTGAGTTTTAGGGCTAGATTTCTATCATCTGATAATATATACAACAAATTGGGCAGCTAGATGGCATGTTGAGTAGAGTGCCTGGCCTAGAGTGAGGTAGACCTGAGATCAAATTTGACGTTAGGCACCTACTACCTGTGTGACCCTGGGCAAGTCACTTAACCCTGTTTGCTTCAGTTTCTTCATCTCTAAAATGAGCTGAAGAACAAAATGGCAAACCACTCCAGTATCTCTGCCAAGAAAACCCCAAATGGGGGTCACAAAGAATCGGACAAGATCAAAATGATTCAACAACAACAACAAAAATATATGCAACTTTCTGACACCATAGTGCCCTGCCTCTGCTGTGAGAAGAATGGCATGTTTCATTATTGGTTTTTCAATTATTCTAAGTTTGACTTCCTTCAGTGACCTTTTTGGCTTAATTTCTCTCTAAAGCAAAGGCTCTGAGAACTTTTAAAAATGTATTTTAATAACTGCATTTAAATATAATTTCGTTTCACTTGTAATCCTATGTATTTTATTTTATGCATTTTTAAAATTTCAGAGAAGGGGTCCACAGGCTTCACTATACTGCCAAAAAGTAAAGAACCCCTGCTCTAAAAGCATGCTGGGAATTCAGGGTATAGACCACTGCATCAAACTTATGGCAGTGCCATGAGTATGCACCACTGCACACACTCTAGGGAGTCTTCATAGCCCTGACACTGGAGTTTGAGAAACCCCGTCATAAAAAAAAAAAAGCAGGAGCAGCCCCATCAGTCCATGATGGTTTTTTTTATTTTGTTTTGTTTTGTGCTGAATGACTGAAGAGCCAACAAAGCTCTTCAACAAAAGTAACCAACCTGAAACACCAACAAATTTTGTCATCCTTTTGTGTCATGGAGCTGGGAGCCCTCTACGTGCATTCACTAGAAATTGAAGGAAATTTAGGCTATTAGACCCTAAACATGGAGCAGGAAGGACCTTCGAAAATTATCTAGTACAACTCCCTCATTTTACAGATAATAAAAATGAGTCCCTGAGAGCTTAAGTAGTCTGCTCAAGGTCACACTGGTAATAAACGTTGGGGCCACCTAGATCCTTTGACTCCGCACCAGAGCTGCCTCCTTATACCACAGATTTCATAGTCTACTGTCCTCACTTAAAAGATGAGGAAACTGAGACTTAGAAAAAGGAAGTGATTTGTCTGTAGTCAGTACATGATAGAACCGGGATATGAACACAGTGGACAGGGTGCCAGGCCTGGAGTCAGGAAGACTTGAGTTCAAATCGGACCTCAAATACTTACTAGACGTGTGACCCTCAGCAAGTCACTTAAACCTGTTTGCCTCAGTTTCCTCATCTGTAAAATGAGCTGGAGAAGGAAACAGCAAACCTCTCCAGTATCTTTGCCAAGAAAACCCCCAAATGGGGTCATGAAGAGTTGGACAGGACTGAAATGACTCAACCACAGCAACATGAACACAAGACAGCCCTCTAACTCCCAATCCTAGGCTCCTTCGGTTACACTCCTGGAAAAAAGCTATGTGGGATTTAGAAATTGCCAAGGGCATTCATGTGAATCTGTAAAACAATTCAACCGTTCTGAAGAACGATTTGGAATTACATGAAGAAAGTGACCGTGTCACAGTCCACACTCTTTCACTCTGAGATCACACTTAGGCATATACCTCAGAGATCAATGACAAGAAAGAAATCCCCCAAATACACCAAAACATTTTCGGATTGTCAAAGAACTTGAAACAGAGGAGATACTCATATGATTGAAAAATGGCTAAACAAGTTTTGGTGCATAAATGTAATGAAACAAAAGAACATGATGAATTACAGAGAAACATGGGAAGATTTCCATCAACTGGTACAAGATGAAGTAAGTAGAACCAAGAAAAACACCATACACAGTGACCCGAACAATATAAATGGAAAGAACAATAACACAAGACAATCAAAACTGGATTCTGTGAAATTATAACTACTATGTAAGCTTGACTCCCCTAAAAACTGCTATGAGAATGCATCTCCCTCCCTGTTTTCTAGAGTATGGAAGACTACAGATGGCAGAATCTTCTTATGTGTTAATGAGTTTTGCTGAACTGTTCCCCCCACCTCACATTTTTTTAATCCTTTCTTATAAGGCATGGTTTTCTGGGAGTACAGGGACCATTGGAAAATGCAAATGAAGCAAAAATAAAAGATTTCAATAAATATGTATTTTCCAAAATGTCTTCATTTTTAGAAAACAAATGTTTATTGATCTTTTATTTTGAAAGATAAATGTATATTGATATATTTTACTTTGAAAAAGATTTATTGATATATTTTATTGTTTAAAATATTTATAGCTATTTAAAATTTTTGCATCAGCCACATTTTCCAGTGTATCCCTCTTCCCACTCCCAGTCCTTTAAGATAAAGAATAAAAAAAAAAGAGAAAAAAAATTGCCAAGCTACATGTGAATATCTTAATTGATGGAAGTCAGACAAAGCCTTTTGTTTACTTGAATAGAAGAAAGATTTCAGGAACTTCACAGGCTGAAAAAATAAACCAATGCTCTCCATCCCTAAGGATGCTTGAGTGATCAAGGGGAGCAGATACTGTCAACTCTTATTTACTTTGGATAATGGATGAGCCAGACATGATACAAAACAATGGATAATTAGATACAAAAGCATAGAAGAAGCTTATTGTTTCCTTCGTTTTTTTTTCCACCATCTAGGAAAGGAAAAATAAAAGGTAAGACAGGAGAGGCCTACACTAACATTAGACCAAAGCTGAATGTGGGAGGATTTAGAGAAAAACATGAGTGAAGAACCCAAAGGAGAAAGGAGAACAAGATAAAGGAAAACCCTAAGGATAAGCTAGGGTAGCCTGCGTGGGGGCAGGTGATCAGGCAGAGGGTGGGCACCTCAGCAGAATCTCACATACCCTCTCTCCATTTTCTTAGGCTGAGAAATAGGTTCTAGTTTTGTAATGGCAATAGCTGGTAATAACAGTGTTGGTAGCTGTGGGTGAGTTTTTCAGCACAAACTTAGCTGAGAGCCAGGACTAGGCCTTCTAAATTGAGAATTTTACAAGTGATGGCTCATTAGTGTATTTCAATTAGAATCAGCCTTCCCTGCTGACAACTTGGACTGCATGACTATGGACACTGAAGCCTGTAGGCTTTATAGCCCATATATCCCATATCTGAGGAAAGAAGCATTGGGATATGAGAGATGAGTGGTAAGGAGGAGATATGGGCAGCAGGTTGGCACAGTAGATAGAGCTCCAGGCCTGGAGTCAGGAAGACCTGAGTTCAAATCCAACTTCAGATACTGGCTGTGGGACCCTGGACAACCGGCAAGTCATTTAACCTCTGTCTGCCTCAGTTTCCTCAATTGCAAAATGGGGATGATAGTAGCACCCACCTCTCAAGGTGGTTGTTGCAAGGACTAAATGAGATAGTATCTGTAAATGCTTAGCACAGTTCCTGACACATTTTTGTTGCTGTTCAGTCATTTCCGTCCCTTCGTGACCCCATTTTCTTGGCAAAGATACTGGAGTTGTTTGCTATTTCCCTCTCCAATTCATTTTTACAGATGAGAAAACTGAGGTAAACAGAGTTAAGTAACTTGTCCAGGGTCACACATCCAGTAAGTGTCTAAGGCTGGATTTGAACTTGGAAAGATGAGTCTTTCTGATTCTAGTCCAGCACTCTATGCACTACAGCACCACCTA